GTTTATTAACAATGTATTTACATTAAGCACACAAACAAGGTACATCTTAGTTTTATTATAAAAAAAATTTTATAATCTAATATGATATAATTTTTTATTTTGATTGTACAATGAGAGGCAACCATTTTCTATCATTTATTTGACTCTACCTACATACTATGTAATTTGAATTTAAAAATTTTTACTTATAATAAAAAGAAATAATTATTGAATTATTTAAGTCGTTGACAATATAATATGTTTAACTTTTAACAAATAAAAAACATGTTACAGACCCATCGTACAGACCCATCTCTCTCATTGGCGTCATGTACAAGATCCTAGCAAAGCCGCTTGCAAACCGACTGCGGAAGGTGATTGAGAAGGTGATAGGGGAACAGCAAATGGCTTTCATTAGAGGCAGACAACTTGCAGAAGGGGTAGTGATTGCAAATGAGGTGATTGATGAGGCCAAGAGGAACAAGAAGAAATCCTTCATCTTTAAAGTTGATTTTGAGAAAGCGTACGATAAGGTATGCTGGGGATTCATTGATTATATGATGACAAGAATGGGTTTTTGTGGAATTTGGAGAGGATGGATACAGGAATGTCTCCGATCGAGCTCGGTATCAGTCATTGTCAACGGTAGCCCAACGAGACAATTCACGGTCACTAAAGGAATACGATAGGGAGACCCATTATCCCCATTTCTTTTCCTCATTGTAGCTGAGGGGTTGAATGGGATGATGGCTGCTGCAATTGAAAAGAAGATGTATAAGGGTGTAAAGGTGGGCAATGGAGACCTTATGGTTTCACACCTTCAGTTTGCAGATGACACTATGTTCTTCGGAGAGGCAACTGAAGAAAATATTTGGGCAATAAAATGTATAGTGAGAACTTTTGAGATGGTTTCAGGATTGAAAATCAACTATACAAAGAGTCAGCTTTTGGGTGTTAATGTGGAAGAAGGCTGGAAAAAAAAAAATGGCTTACAGGCTACACTGTAAAGGGAAAGATCTTCCGGTTAAATATCTGGGGATCCCCATTGGGGGGAGTCACAGAAGAATAGCAATGTGGAAACCACTGGTGGAATCTGTGAAAAAGAAATTAGCTCCATGGAAAGGCCATCATCTATCCTTTGGGGGACGCATCACACTCATTAATTCCATGTTGTCTAGCTTGCCCGTGTTCTTAATGTCAGTCTACCTACTTCCTAAAGGTATTATTCATTTCATTGATAAAATTTGCAAAAACTTTTTATGGGGAGGGGAGGGAGAGGGTAGGAAAATCAATTGGGTCAAATGGGAAAAGGTTTGTAAGAATAAACAATATGGGGGATTAGGAGTGAGAGAGTTGAGGAAATTCAATCTAGCCTTAATGGGGAAATGGTGGGGTCGGCTAGCAAGAAAAGATCAGGGCTTGTGGGATAAGGTTATAGCTAGTAAGTAAGGCAAGAGAGGAGGCCATTGGCTTGATTGGGTAAGGGAGGGAAGGGGAATAGGATCACTATGGTGGAGGGATGTTTGTTGCCTAAACAATGTGGATGGGGAAAATGAAGGGTGGTTAATAGAAGGGTTTAAGTTAAATCTAGGAGAAGGAAATGGAGTGAGTTTTTGGTGGGACGATTGGGGTGGGGAGGGATGCCTAGCTAATCTTTTTTCGAGATTGTATTCTTTGTCAACAGGAAAGGAGAAAGAATGCTATCAAATGGGTGATGAGGAAAATGGAACATGGAAGTGGTACCTTGGCTGGAGGAGAGACTTATTCAACTGGGAAAGAGAAGAAGCTAAGGAACTACAAAAAAAGATTGAAGGCAAGCAGATACACAAGGACATTCCCGACACATGGAAGTGGGAACATAGCAAGGAAGGCAACTACTCAACAAAAACAGCCTATAGACTTCTAGCAAATGAACAAAATGGACGGGAGACAACCTCAATATACAAGAGAGTTTGGAACCCTATCATCCCAAGCAAAATTTCTGCTTTTAATTGGCAACTACTGCAGGATAGAATACCAACAAAGAGCAACCTGCAGAGAAAAGGGATTATAAGTGGATTGGGTGATAGGAAATGTGCTCTATGTGAGGGGGAGGTCGAGGACTCTAGTCACCTCTTCTTGAAGTGTAGGGTAGCAAAGTGGCTATGGAAGGCTTGTGGGAAATGGTGGGGGATTTCAGTTAATTTGGAAAATAATTGCTGGAAATCTTTTGAGCAGTTTGGGGTACAGGCGAAGGAAGCATGTGTGAAGGAAGCCTGGGACTGTATCTGGAACGTTGTGGTGTGGTCGGTATGGCTCGCAAGAAACCAGAAGATATTCCGAGATTCCGACGTCAATATAAGTAAGCTGTTCGATCAAATTCAATTGAAATCTTTTTTGTGGATTAAATCAAGGAAATCAAGATGCTTGTTTACTCTTTCTGATTGGTTATTTGATCCTATGTCATGCCTTAAAGTTAACTGGGGTAGGAAATAGAGTTTGTCCAATGCGTGGATAGATTAGCTTCAAGTTAAGAAGGAATTGTTAGAATATCTCACTGTTTTCTTCAGGTTTTGGTGAGCAAATAATGACTCTTGTTGGCATTTAGACGGAGTCAGTAGATGCTCACTATATCACCTATTTTTGTAGTATGGGCAGGAGTACCCCTTGTACTCTAACTAATGAATCAAATTTGCTGTGCAAAAAAATAAAATAAAAAAAAAATAAAAATAAAAAACATGTTACATCTAGTTTCTTATTCTTGATATAAAATCCAACCAGCTTTATTCTTTTAAGGGCATTTTAATAATTAAAATTTTAAATTTTCATATTAAAAATTTTAAATCTAAATTGTGAAATGAATAAAAAAATTTATTATATAACACATCAATCTGCGTACCAAAAGAAAAACAAGGGAAGCTCATCTTTGTTAAAAGCCAGATTTAATTCCCAGTCTAATAATAGGCATTTTTGTGTAACCTGATTTTGGAAGATATGCTAATTTTTCAAAAGGAAAAGGAAAATAATTAGTATTTTTTCCAGTTCAATACATTTTACAACATATTTATTAAGAAATGATTATTTTTAAATTTAAATTCATAGTGAAAAAATTTTCAAAAAGAAATTTTAATGATTAAACTAGAGGTATATTATGCAATGTATTTAATCAAAAAGTGTATCAATGATTATCATTTTCAGAATCATTACCTCACTTAAACAGGAGGAAGAGTCCTGTTCAAAATCAAACACTGAATTTAGGATTGAAACTCACACGAAATTCATGTGTTTTTGGCGGATGAAACCGAGGTTCATCGGACCAGCACCGGCATGAGAGTTTACTTTTTCTTTCTTGCTTTGCTGGGTTCTTTTGTGCAAATCCTCTTTTCCAATGCCATTAGATATTGTACCAAAAAAGGATTTTGCACTTATTATATCTCTAAAAATGGACTCGGTTTTTGACTATATGAAACAACAATGGTTCTCTGGTTTTTCACATCCTGAAAACCTATCCCCTTCTCTCTTCCCTCTAATTTGATTTCTTTCTCCCTCTATTAATGGCTTCTAGCTCTAATACTAGTGCTTCTTTTGGCATGGGTCCTGAGACTCCTGACACCGATAATGCCTCTGTTACTTCAGGTCAGGCTCAGCAACAGTCTCCAGAGGAAGTTTCTTCCGATGATGAAATTTATAATGATCCCCTCTTCGCCTCTTTCCGTGGCCGTCAACACACATTCAAAATTGAGAAGGTTGTTCTTAAACCGCTGGGAATTGGTGGTTATATTCCGAGAACGAAAAGTGAACAAGACCTGTATGCCGCTGAGGTGATGAGAAAACGGCAAGAGAACGGATCCGATGCAGGTCGTTCTAGCTTTCTCATTTTTGTTATGCTTTTAGTGTATAGCTAATGCAGATATCTGAATTTAGATCTTTAACTCAGAATCAATTATACTCACTCAAAGAAAATCTTGATTAATTCATGTACTGCAGATATGAGCTCTAGCGATGGTGGTGAAAGTCCTGCTCCCTCCAAACGCAGGAGGAGAAGGAGATCACGCTGTAGAAATCCATCGGAATATGATGGAAGGTTGCATGCCATCCGCCTCAAAGATGGTACCTACCAGTGTCCTATTTATGCTTGCTCTGCTGTGCTTCTTACAGGACAAGAGTACGCTGCTCATACTAAGAAGCATTACAAATTCGAAACTGAAGAAGAAAAGGGCAGGAGGTATGCTGCTCGCCGTTCCAGGGGAACGAAGTTTACCCTTCAGAATAATTCCCATGGACTCACAGCGCCGGCGGAGTCTCACAGCGGAGCAACCTCCACTGTGAGCGCATCGGAGTCTGGTTAGGAGGTGGCTAAGTGATTAGCTTGGTAGTAGGAAAATTGGCAAGATATGTTTGGGTTCCATTATTTATGTCTGGTTTTTACTTTTGTTAAGAATAGATGTCTTTCATGAACTATCAGTACAATTAATATAAAGTTACGTTTGGACATTGAAGCTTTAATTTGAGGCTTTATTAAAAAAGGTATACTTACAAAATGAATACCAGAGACACTCTAATTGTTTCAAACAAAAAGAAAGAAAATCAAAATTATCATGTTTATAGGAGAAAATTTGTACAGAATCATAAGTTGATGGTTTGGATATAAATAGTTGATTAACAAGTACTTACTTTCGTTGTTGCCTGGGTAAATTTAAACTTGAAAATTAGTTATAAATTGGCAGTGTTATAGGACTACTTATTTAAAAGAGATAGGGGAAAAGGGTTTATGTAGGGTTCAAACGTGCAACTTATAAGAGATGAACAGTTTTAATTCAAAATCCAATATCACTGAATTGAAATGAACCGTTTAAAAGTTCATTGTAAATTAGCGCACCTAAGTTTTAAAATGTTACTTTAAATTAACACATCGTAAGCATTTGTTTGAATAAAAATTAGTAAAAGTAA